GAATCAGTGTCTGCCTGTTGGGCCCTGACCAGAGGGGCCTCAGTCTCAGGGCCAGGACTAGAATGAGGCAAGTGAGGCACCCCGGGGCACAGATTGCTGGAGGCGCTCACACTCAGGTTGGTGCAAGTGCCACATCAGCCCCTGAGTGAGTGACTCCTAGGCTTCCATTCACATCACCCTAGTCCTGGCTTGTCAGACGAGCCCCTGACATGGGGCTTGCAGTATGAGGGCGGGCCTCCACACCAAACAGGGGAGAGGCTGGTGCGGGGACGGGATTCAGGGATGGGGTCTGAGGAGAACTGGGGGAATGGGCGTGGTGAGCACCAGACACGTGACCTGGTGGGGGTGGTCACCTGGTGGTCACACAGGAAGGCCCCTTGCAATGCCTGTGGCCATCAGCCAGTCACAGCAGGGGCTGGCATTGGAGCCTAGGAAGCAGATGGGGGCCCAAGTGGGCAGGGCCTTCTGGGTGCCTTGTCAGGCTCCATCACCCTCCCGTTTTTAGGGTTTGTCTGAGACTCCTTTCTGGAATGGTGTGGAAGAAGAGTGGAGCCCCTGGCCCTGAGCTTGATAACCTCAGTCTCTGGGTGCTGATCTCTTCGCCTGTAAGATGAGTGATGGTCGGCCCTCACCACGGACACGAGAAATAAAGTGAGATCGTGTAGGATCATTCCCATCAAGGGTAATTGTTACGAAGACCAGATTCTGGCCATTGTCAGGCTGTGGATACCCGTGAGCTGAATGGCAGTCCTGCTGGCACAGGGATGTCTGACCCTGCCCTCCCCGCATGAGTGGTCCACTGTGTCATGCCCATGGCGTGAGCCCCTTAGATCACACGTCATTATTATTTAATATTACTGTTATTATCACTGGCGTTGTTATTACCCCGAGCCCTTGCATCTCTTGCTGCACCCCAGGAAGTAGAGCGAACTGCCCCTCCTAACCCAGGCCTCCAGGCCTCCAAAGGAAGTGTACTGGGAATGTCAGGGAGAACATCTTATTTCTCTCCCTTTCAACCAGTGGCTAGAGGACAGGAGGCCTGTCAGCCCCAATGGCTGGGACATCTGCCATTGTCCTCTTTCTACATTCTCCCAGGCCAGACCCCAGGGTGCAGCTGGGGATACAAATTGAGGGGATTGGCTGGGCCTCACCCAGGAGACACTGAGGAAGCCCCAGTAAGTGGACACCCTTGATCCACAAAGGTGTGAGAGACTAGGAGACTGGGGTCTCCTTGAGAGTGCCCTGCAGGGCCTGGGCAGCCACAGAGGGGAGATGCTGGCCCCCAGTGACCATGTATCAGGAGAACAGAGGGCTGGTGGGCAAGACTGTGGGTGCTCCCCCTCCAATACCACACATGTACACCCAGAGCACATGGGGCCAGGATCCAGGCTGCCACAAAGCCTCCGAAGTGAACCAGGCCTAGACCTTGCCTAAGAAAGCTGGGCTGAATCTGGGGCCCTTTCCCCTGAGAGGCACGTGTGTAAGGGTTCTGGCGACATGCCCAGCCTCCTGCCAGGCTAAAGGAACAGGGAGGTGGGCTTGGAGCACTGAGGCCCACCCCTGATGGGCACAGGCAGTGTCACTCTTCCCAAAGACTCCATGTCGAGGGCTGCCTGGGCGACACGAGCTGTGGACCCTGTGCCCAGGCTGTCCAGTTCAAACCCAGGCCCTGATATGCCCTGCACCAGCTGAACACAGCGCCCTGGGCTGTCCTCCCCTTGCGGCTCAGGCACAAGGTCCTCACGGATGAAATGGGAGTGAGACAGCCCACTTTCCCCGGCCATGGTGGGCATCAGACATGATGCATGTTGGTCCCTAGAGAGAGACACTCTGAGCTTCTCCCTCCCCTGAGCCCCGGCCCACACAGGAACCCCAGGCCTACCAACTTCATGAATCTGACCAGGTACCCAGAGTTACCTTTCAAGCCGAACCCTGTGAAAGAAAGGGACCGTCCAAAGCTGAGGTGGGCGGTCTCTGACCCTTATTGCATTTCTCCAGCCAGGGGCTGGGAAAAGGAACCCCCTTCCCAGACAAGCGTCTGCCCCATCTCCTCCTCTGTTCCTCACACAGACACCCTCCTGGGCTGAGCGAGCCTCTAGACTCTGGGGTTTCCTCCTTCTTGCCCCTTCCCCCTGCACACTTGCTCACCTTCCTCTGGCTCCCGCATACCTGCCCTGAGCTTCCACGTGCAGAATCCAAGTGACCAGGGTGATGAGTGGGGGTGGAGGCCATTGCCAAAGGGGCTTTGAGGTGGGGGCAACAGAGGTGCTCAGGGTGGACCCAGGGGCAGGTGGGATGCCAGCCCAGCAGCTCCTGGGGTTCCCTCGAATACCCTCAGCCAAGACCCTCCACATTGAAGACTGCTGAGGGGTGACACTAGACAGGATGGGCTGGATTCATCTGGCCTCGGGCTCTGACTGTCCCCCAGGCACACCTGGACCTTGTCCCTATCTTCTTTTGTTTTGTTTTTTATTTTTAAAGATTTTTATTTATTTATTTGACAGAGAGAGACACAGCGAGAGAGGGAACACAAGCAGGGGGAGCTGCAGAGGGAGAGGGAGAAGCAGGCTTTCCACTGAGCAGGGAGCCCGACATGGGGCTTGATCCCAGGACCCTGGGATTATGACCTGAGCCGAAGGCAGACACTTAACGACTGAGGCACCCAGGTGCCCCTGTCCCTGTCTTTTTTTGCATAAAGATGTAGCTATAAAGACACAGACATACAGTGTGTGTATATACACACATCACACACTCACACATTCATCCTTCTTTCCTCTTTGACACCTGCCTCCTTCCGTCTCAAACAGAGATGCAGACACCAACCAATAGAGCTGGTTCACTGACAGGACCACAGAGCTGGGCTCAGTAATGTTTCTGGAAGGAATCCACTACAAGGTCAGACTGCTCTCCTGGAGTTTCTGGGCTCGCCTCCAGGAGAACTTTCCTTTACATTCCGCAGGCATCCCTGGCATCTGCTGGCAGCCAGGCAACGGGATTACTATATTCGCTTTGGCTGGAAGTTGACACTTTACTTCATTAAACAAGATGGCTTCCTCTGAAGGCGCCCATCCATGTCTACCCTGACAACCCCCACTGCAAGCTGGTGTCGCTTCTGCCCCGAAGCCCAGGTTGCTAGTCATGAATAGGGATTTCGATGATGGATGTGTGTGTGTCCCTCGGGGGTGTTTCCCAAAGGCCTCCGTTAGCAGCCGATTTCAGGAGCAGTAAGGGCGGGCAGGTGACTGTCTCACCATGTCTGCCTGGCTGAGGGCAGTGAGGGATGTTCTGGTCAGCCTGCCAGGCCCACGGTCACGAGGACATGTCAACCGGATCCTTTCACCCTGATAACTATTGATCCCATGCTCTGTGGGAGACCTGGAAACTGATGGGGAATTTGGTTCTTCTCCGGGGCTGGGAAAGAGAGCTAGCAAGGAGAAGGTGCGGAGGAGGGAAGAGGAGGGGGTCTGTGAGGGGACAAGGATGAGGCAGTGGCCCCATCACCTACAAAAAGTTGCCCTGCCCACCACCTAGCTAGGCCTACCCATGGGAAAGGAGCATGAGGAGAGAATGGGGACGGGGTCCTTCTGGAGCCTCCACATTGGCCCTAGTCCCTAGGTGTTGGCCTTACTCTGCAGGCCCCATGTTTTTAGGGTCCCTCAGACATTGGGTCTTCTGTAGCTCCTACATTCTTGGATTGAGGGGTTACTCAACAAGATGGGAGCATAGAGCCCATCCACCCCTTCCCCTCTTGCCCCATGGTTCTTAGGGAACCTTCTGTTAGTCGGCTGGGGGAGGGAACTCCCTCTGCAAGCTCAGGGTCATCACTGACATGCCCAGCTGTCTGACCCAGTGTGTGTGGCCCATGGAGGCTTTGGGGCCTCACCTTTACCAAAGGCCCTGTGCCACAGCCTGGTTTCCAGCCCAGCCCTCCACCATGGAACTGGGGTGCTCACCCCGTCCTTGTTTCCTATGCTAGCCTGAAGGCTCAGCTCTTTAGGGGAGAATCTGGATGTCACTTAGAGTCCTGGTTTGTGGAATTTCCTGTGCTAGAAACTGGGCAGTCCTGGGAGAACCAGGACAGTTGGTCACCCTGGTCATTCTCCCCAAACCCTTCTGAACCCTGTCGGTGGTTTCCATACAAATAACCTTTAACGATTCCTGCTCCTACCCAGCCCCTGCTCCCTTGTGCTCCAGGAAAGGCCCCATTATTTTGTTCCCTTTTGTCTTCCAGACCCAGTTCCTATGGACAGTGAAGCACTCCACCTCCCCCTGGACCTTGGGGCTCAAGCCCCCTCTTTCATCAGGCCCCACTAGGTCCTGTCCACTTGGCCTCTCCACCCCAGGGGACGGCAGGCATTGTGACCCCACATTTGAGACACGAAGCAATTCCACAGTTGAGACACGAGGCCCCAGAGCAGCCCAAACTCGGGGCCAGAGGCATTTCATCAGACAGATCAAGGAAAACCAGCAGGGTTGTTTCCAGGCCCCCCACAGCCCCTAAACAATCCTGTCCCTCCTGGGGTTTCACACCCCAAGCGTCACAGGCTCACACTCTCTTTGTGTAAACATCTTAATGACATCTTTAATGCTCTCACATGGAGGTGCCGAGTTCCCTTACAGCGTCTGTGCACCCGAGATCACCCACAGCCCTCCAGTTGGTTCAAGTGCTAATGTATTTATAGCACCAAGAGGAGGGAATACATCCCAAATCTTCCCCGCACGGGTCTCCTTGGCCCTCCCCTCCTAACATGTGGTATTTGCCCAACAGAATGGGCTGCTTCCCCCATGTGCCCTTCCAATCAGTGGGGACAGCAGTGGTGGCGAAGCTGGGCACCGGGGTAGGGGGTGGGCATGCTTTTCTGCATGCTCGTGTGTGCATGCGTGCCCAGTGGAGAAGATTGCCCAGCTTCTGGGGTCTGGCTTGGTCCCATGCCTTGCCTAGATGCCCCAAATTGGTTGAAGAATTCCTGAGGGGGGTCGGGCGGGTGGGCTGTGCTATCAAAAACCAGGAAAACTGTTCTCTGTGGGGCTATCCCCACCCTGTTTCAGGCAGTCAGAATGTTCCCAGATAGCCCACAGCCTGGAACCACTGCCCTCAGTCCAGTAGCCTCTCCCACAACCCTAGATCCCCAATATACACCAGGACAGGGAACCGTTTTCAGAAGCAGGTTACCTGGTTTGTAGAGCCCAGTGAAGAGATGCAGTGGGCAGCACGACCTTCACCTTGGCTTCCCTCTCCTTTCAGTCCCTGAAAGCTGAAGGCAGAGAGAGTGGCCTTTCCTGTGCTCCCGCACACAGAAAGGGGTGGGGTGGACTTGGATGGTGGAGCCAATACAGAGGGTCTCCCTCCTACCCTGTGCAGGACAGACATATGCCTGCATGTGAACACATTCCTGGACCCTCTCAGGGCCCTCTACACCTACTCCCCGGCCTCCCTCCCCCTTTCCCAGCCAATAGCTGGCTGCCAGGGAGAGTGGCTGGGAGGCCTCCTGAACATCCAAAATAAAGATGGGTTGGGTAGGAGCAGTCCTCTTCCCGGTGTCCTTGCCCACCAGGCAGTTCCGGTTCATCCCTAGGCTTCTCCCCGGGTGTCACCACACCCTGTCCCCAAGACCTGGTTGATTGCCCCTCCCTATTCTAGAGGACGCTGCGGATTCCAAAGACAGGTCTCTCCCTGACAAAGGGGAGCCCCTCCTTACTCTCCTCCACCTCCCCTCCTATCCCGTGTCTCCCCCCACATCCTCCACATTAGAGGAGCAGACCATGGGGTGAGGGGTCTGGGCAGGACACAAGCAAGCCAGCAGTGGCTCTCAACCTTCCTGACAGGAGGGCTGTCCCCTATGCCAGGGCCCTCAGATCAGGAGACCTCAGTAGCCAGATGTCCAGCCTAGCCAGGGCCCTCTCTAAGAGCCTGGAGAGCCAGCAGGTGGGTCCTTGGAACAGCTGGGCCTCAGCAGGGCAGGTCCTGAGAGTGGGTCTTAACAATCATGGAGCAGGCAGCTCGAGGGGCACGATAGCAGATGTCTTCATCAGAGATCCAGGCCGGTCCTCAGGCCACTCACGCATGGATGGCATTGGCTACGTCAGTGAACACCAGCCGGCTGGGCCTCTGCAGTGGGCCCTGAGAGGGGAGCATGGTCTGCAGAGAGACAGTCAAGGGCATTAAGGACCTCGACCAAGGCCATGTACTCTCTGGTCCCGTTACTTCTACCCTTGCTTCCTGGTTTGCCTGTTTGTGCTTTGCACAACTATGCCTTCTGCTTGGAATGCTCTCCTTGCAAGTTCAGTGTGGAAATACCATCTGGCTCAGATGACTCCTCCCCCGCCCCCCAGCCACTTACTCTGTGGGCCTAGAGGCTGGATGAATTATGCATGCACTCCTCTCTCCCAGCAGAAGGGGGCTCACCTCTGCACCCCTCCCAGCCCTAGCACCATGGCTGGCCCAAGGGAGGTGCCCAGGAAACACCTGTCAAATTGTCAGTTGTCCCACGGGCTGGGTGGACCAAGGTTTTCAGCCCGATATCTCAAATACCCCAAATGGGGAATGTGTCCCAATCAGCGGCCATAGAACTGGCAGCAAAACCAGGGGTTCTCTGGAGCCCCAGTGTGGACTCTTCTTGAGTCCATTCCCCTAGTACTGCCTCTGACAGGGTCAGATGCCCCCACAAAGCTGTGGGGTCAAGGCAAGGAGAAATGCAAAGGGGTTTCATGGGTCAAAGAGAGGCCAAGCCTCCTCACGGTGCCCTTGGGGATTTGGGGGGGACTGGTAGCAATCAGCCAGTGGCTCTGGCTGGGTGATCATGCAAGTATCCAACCCTTTGGATGTTAAGAGGCAAGTCTGGTTGGGGTCGCCATCCGCCTGGGGTCCGCCTGTTACTAGGACCCACTAGTCTACTCAGAGGTGCCCCTGTTCCAGAATCTGACCCCCACAACCCACTCAGGAAACACGGCCCCTCAGGGGGGCAAAGGCACCAGGCTCTTAGCCCATAGTAATCTCTCCCATCAGTCCTCTCCTGCTTTCCTAGCCCAGACATGGGGGCACACAGGGCAAGAATTGGGATTTTCATTTGTGGATGAGAAAGCAGGGGCTCAGAGAGGCCAAGGGGGCTACCAAGGTCACTAGGCTGGCACGGGCAGAACTGGGCTGGCTCCCAGGGCTGCCCTGGCCTTGTGCAGTCAGTGTGTGGGTGGCCACGGAGAAATCCTACCGGTTTCTAAACAAACTTGACAAAACCCATATACCGGCTAGCTGCCACTGACCACATGGCAGGTGCTGGAAAGCTGCATGAGGAGGGAGGGAGGGCGGGGGTGGCAGAGTCACGCGCAGCCAGCAGGCTGGCCGGGGGAGCCTGGAGTGCCCACCTTGCCCTGTGCAGCCTGCGCAGAGGCAGCGGCCTGCACGGAGGCAGCGTCCCGCCCGTGCTCCAGCAGCTCCTGCTCCAGTTCATCCTGCTCCTCCGTGGGGTCGAAGTTGTACATGGGCATGAGCTGGTGGCGGAGTTTCTCCAGCCTGCGGGTGGGGGCAGAGGCTGCTGGGGGCACTGCAGGCACTTCCCCTCCTGCCAGCCCTCTAGGCCCTGCCTGCTGAGTGCCTAAGCCTGAGCACACAGCTACATTGGGGGTGGGGGTGGGGTGTTCGGATTTCCCCTGGGATTAAACGAAAAGCCATTTTTTGCATTTTTGGAACTTGGATACCATCCAAGTTCATCCAAGATGGTGGATACCATCTCTACCCCTCAGATGGATGGTTATTCACTCCTAGGACCAGATGGGGCCATGGCCCAGAGAGGTGTCACCTGTGGGGTCCATGGGGACTGCCTAGGCCAGGCCCTTGTGTAAGCCACAGCCTCTGGGCACCAGGCAGGGCAGGCGAGTCAGTGACCTGGAGCTGGGGGCAGTGGGGCATGGGTGACTTGGTGTTCCCAGAGGCCAAGTCATCATCCCCAGCCTTCAGTGGGCAGGAAAGGACCCGGCTCCTGGACAAGGGAGAGGGGCCCTGATAGTGGTGGGGCTCTCTCTTCCCACCCCCCCACCCCGGGGTCCAGCCCCACATGGCAACTGGGGAGTTACCTCTTCTTCTTCCTGATGTACAAAACCTGCAAGAGAAGGAGCAGTGTCAGGTGGCCGGGCGAGGAGCCCCTGATTAACTGGCAGTTCCTTGGGACAAGGGACAAGCTGAGGCCGATGAATAGGAGAACCATGGGTCTTCAAGTCCTCCAGGATTCCCTCCCAGGGACATACACATCCTGCATTTGCTCCTCCTTTCGATGCGTGTCAGATGCCCACAGTGCCTGGGCTATGAAGTGGAGAGCAGGCTCGCGCTTTCTCTGCCACTACAGACCACAGCTCCAGCCACTCAGCACCTGCCCTGGACTCTTCAAGGGGGAGGGGAAGAGTTTAGCAACCCCCCTTCCTTTCAATCCACCCCCCCACCCCAGGCCCAGAGCCATGTATGGGGAAAGAGAACAGGGGACAGGTAGTGGCTAGACTCTGCAGGGCAGTGCTCAAGGCAAGACGCTGGGCTGGGCTTTTGGGGTTTCTATGAGAGGCTGATAGCCTTCAGTGGATGGGGTGGGGAGGAGAGCTTGAGTCCCCTGGACAGAAGCCCAGACTAAATGCCAGAACCCAGATGCTGGAGGAAGGTAGGAAGGCCTCTGGGTCCTAACCCCCATTGTAAAGATTTGAAGATAAAGGCCTAGGCAGCCTGAGGAAACACAAGATTCAAGAGCTCTGAGATGGAGCAGAACAGCCCTGTACTAAGCGCTGAGAGGGAGGAAGAAGGGGCTGACCACCAGGGCAGGGACACCAGGGACTCCACCATCATCTGGCTGTTGCTTAAACTGGTCATCTCTGACCAACAGCAGCATGACCACTTCTGCCTGGGGGAGAGCTATGTCCTTAGACTCTGTCCCTAACCTTCTGTGGCTCTTACACCCTTTATGCCTCATTCACAGCTTGAATCTGGTTTGGTTTCCAGCCTGGCCCAGAGTTCCTCCTGCCGCTTGTTTCCTGGGAAACCCCAAAGGCCCGAAAAGAACCCAAAGAGTCCCTTGCTCTCCATCCCCTCCAGGAGGTCACATGTGGAGGACACCCTTGCTGTCCTGTGGGCAGGATGCTGGAGGAGTTCTGGGTCTCAGACCCCAGGCCCTACCTGCCCTGAACTAGTGGCTCCAGCCCCAGCACCTGGACTCCCTCCACTTCCTCTGCTCTGGCCCAGCCCCAAGCCCTCCTCCCAGCCCTGTGGTCCTGTCCTACAGAGGGGTCCTCACAAGAGGCCAGAGCCTTTATCCAATCTTCAGCCTTGCCCCTGCTGCTCCCTCTGCCCCAGCTACCAACATCACCCTCCCACATACCTTCCTTTCCAAACCTACCCCACGCCTCACCATCTAGCTGCAGTCCTAACTCCACCAGGAAACCCGCCCATACCATTCAGTCTATATGAGGCACACAGCCTGGCACTGATTTGCTCCTCCTGGTACCCAGCCTGGCCCTGCTGGCAGCCGGCACAGCGGGAGATGGGGCAGCCCTCAGGGAGCACCTCTGGACCTGTCCCCTAATGCCCAGGAGCTGTTTCCTGCCCTCCACTGCCTTTGCCGCATAATCTTCCTACTTCTCTGGTTTGGCTAAGAAGACCCTCCACCCTGGCCTCTGAATGTTCCTCCAAAAGGAAGCATCAGGGAGGCCCCCCAAGTTCCTGGGACACAATCTTTGGCCTAGAGTTCCAAGGGCAGATTTCAGATCCCACTTTTTCCCCGAGGTGAGGCTGTTTCGGTTTGCTTCACTGCCACATGAGTGTTGAGGGGAAGTACTGGCACTCCGCCTCGCCCCCCGCCCCGGGAGGCCACTCGTGCTGTGTGCTGCATCCTGGCCTGCTTGCCGGCCATCCCTTGTTCCCTGGCAGTGATCCGGAGCCCACAGGGCCCATATGGCAACCTTGGTTGAAAAGCAGCTCCAGCCAGATCACGGATGGACCATCCGCAGCCCTATTTGCCAGAGCAATGCGGTCCTGAGCCTAAGGCCGGCCATCAGAGCCTGTGAGGGGCGGTGGCTGGGATGCCACCATTGTCAGGCCCCTGGGGGAGCTCAGGTGCACCTCCCCCCTTCCTGGTCTTAGCTAGCACCATCTCCACCAGTCCGTCAGTGACATTCTGAGTGTCCGTGCGGCAGATTAGAGGCAGGGCCCATATCTGCGGGGACAGACACCAGATCTGGAAACATCATATCCCCTATCAGGGAACACCTTCAGTCTTCAGCCCAGTCCACCTCCGTCCTGACGTCTGCACCAGTCTGTCCCTTCCTGTGGTACTGGGGCCAGGCCTCCACTTCGGGGTCTCAGCTCTAATGTTGCCTCTTCAGTCTGTCGCTGACCACGCAGTCCAGAGAGTCCTCCTGCCCAATCCCCCAACTCAGTCCCCCTGGGTTTCCCTTGGCATCATTGGTTTTATCTGTCTCTTAGTCCCATAAGAACCACCCGGTGGGCCTTGGTCTCCCTAGTCCCTGGGGACCTGAAGGCTCGGTCCAGGGCAGGGGCCTAGGAAATACCTGCCAAGTGAATGAAGGCCACCAGCAGCCTGCCATGCCAACCCACACCTTGGTCTGGTCTGGCCTTTAGGCCTCTACTCCTATTCACCCCTCCCCCCCACTCGCCTCACTGTCCTGCTTGCTCATCACAGACCCTCCTGCCTGCCTCCAGACTTTTGTCTATCAGGACCTTCCACCTGAACACCCTCTTCCCCAAGTCCTCCGTGGTCCTCACAGCCCAGCTCAAGACGCCAGGCGTCCTCAGAACCCTCTCTGATTTTTCCAGTTGGAGGCAGCCCCTGTGGTCTCTGGGCCCCCAGACACATCTCTGAAGAAGAGGGAGACTGTGGTATCATTAACAGACAGTTATCTTCTGATTAGAGTCCCTAAAATCAAAACACTGACACCCCCATCCCCCGCCCTCGTCCAAATGACAGCCACCTAGGTCAGCCCCAGCCTCCCAGCTCTTACCACGGCCACAGCCAGGCCAATCACTGTGATGATCCCAAAGGACAGAAGCATGGTGCCCACACCAGCTGTGCCACCAGCCACATCAGGGATTCTGGTGTCATTAAAGCTGGTGGCTTCTGTACTGAGAGTGGTGGTCTCGGAGGCTGGCCCCTCTGTGGCAGGTTCCAGGTCAGGCTCCGACGTGGGTGGGCGGCTGCTGAGCCAGCCCCCGGCAGGCGGAATCCTGGAGTCCATGCCGATGCTGAGAGGGCCCTGGCTGAGAGGTTGCCTGTGGTCACTCGGCCTGCAAACTTGCTCCTGACTTCAGCAGTGTCCCAGCCTGTGGCCCCTGCTATACTTTCTGGTTGCCACCTCCAGGGAGAAAGGGAGCTCCCTGGTGCCCTGCGTGCTGGAAGAGAAGGAATGAAAACATGAGGCTTGGGACACAAATCAGTGGTGACATCAAGTACCTGAAGGTACTGGGGAAATAAAAGTTTGAGGGCAAGGGCAAGTTCAGGGGACATTAGGACATATGCTTTACTTAAGTTCAGTTCCCATGTGAAAATGTCCCTTCTTTGAAGGTATAATATAGTGATCATACTTGAAAGATATGAAAGGTAGTTGGGAAGTTTGAAAGAAGAAGTCTCTCCCCTGCATAATACCCACCCTTACACCCCTACTCCCTGCATTTCCCACCTCCTCACCCCCTGCCCCCCACAACCCTCACCTCCTGCTTGGAGGACAAAAAAATACTGCAGCTTTTTCCTTTCCTGGAGGGATACACTTGCCCAAGAGTCAGATGACCCTTGGCACGTCACTCCACCTCTCTGGATCTCAGTTCTTCTGAGTCTAAGATCAAGATTAAAAACAAACAAAAAACAAAAAATACCCCCCCTCCTTCACAGCCTCACAGGGTCATAAAGTCACTGAAATGTCAGAATGAACTAGTTCTTAGAAAAGCCTTAGCTCAGTGTAAACCCTACCCACAGTAAGCACCCAGTACATCAACTTTTCCCCCAGCCAACCCACTTGGGAAAGGGGGAGCCATAGGAGCCCCTCCACCTAGCCCACTGTGTGATCCAGGCTGTGTTTGCAGTGGGTGGGGGGGGGGCAGGGGTGGATGACAGGTGTAGAGAGACCAGAAGGCAGAAAGGGGAGAGAGCCTAATGTCAGGCCCAGGGCTTCTCTGCAGGCTCTTAGGGTCACTGGACCCCCACAGGAGAGCCAGGGGCTGGCAGGGACAAGGAAAAACAAGGTAAGCAGGAAGCATATACTCAGAAGCAGTGATGGAGCTCCCATTCTGAGTTGCTTCTCCTCTCCTCCCTCCTCCCTTGGGAACAGAGAGTGAGAGATGCGCCCAGACCAGGGTGTGGCTTACCCCTTCCCAGGCCAGAGGCCCTGAGTAAGGCAAGGTGGGAAGTGGTCCCAGCGACACTGCAGAAGACCGGGCCTAGGGAGAGGGGGGTACACGGCTCATGGCTGCACACATACATCCCTGTGCTAGCCAATGAATGTTATGTGGGGTGTCTCCCCATGCAGGTGCATGGGTGTGTGCGAGGCGTGTACACACTGATGGCTCCTTAGGAAGGGGCAAGGTTGGCAGAGGGATATAGGGGCTCATCCTTCTCTACCCTCTCTCTCCCCAGCTAGGCTGAACGCGTCAGCAGTCCCAGGTTCTTCCGTGGCTCTGCCTTTGACCCCAGACATGACCTTGGACCAGACCCTTAACTCTTGCTCTGGGCTTTGTTTACTCCTCGGTCCAAAGCAGAGAAAAGGCCCTGCTCATCATTGCCTGGGACTTCCAGAGAGTCCAAAGGGCAAGAGAAGGAAACGGGTGAGATGGGTTGGCACCGCGACCTCCGGAGAACCCGCATACCGTTCTCTGCCAGGTTCCTCAGTCCTCCCTGCTCCAACCCCCATCCCCGCCTCTGCAACTCGGTGATTCCTCCATTCTTGCACAGAAGCTGCGACCTCAGCACTTACTTAATCCTCTCTGGGGCGCCGAGCTCAGCCGGAGAGGCTAAGGGTGGTGGCGATCGGCAGGAGGCCAGGGCGGGGGGCAGCGGGTCCGACCCCAGGTCCGCCCTCCGAGGGCGCCCGGAGCCGCGGGTTGGGCCCGCTACAGCTTACCGCCTGCAGCCGCGAGCGCCGGCTCAGGCAGCAGAGGCCGGGACAGGCAGGGCCTGGACCCACCGCGGGGGTGGGGCGGAGGCGAGTAGCCCCGCGGGTCCCCCACGCTCCAGTGCCTCGCCTCCCTGCCCTCTCCCCGCGCCCCCGGCTCTCGATTGGCTGTCAGGCCCACAGCCTGCCCGGCACTGGCCCGCTCGCCTGTCGCTGGATCTGGCTCCGCCCCCAGCAGGAGCCGGACACAGGGTCTCGGTTCTTGGAGACCACCCCTCACTACCCGTGGCCTACGCAGAAGTCGGGTAGAGGGCCGTGGGTGGCCAAGCCCTTCCTGCACCAGAACTCGGGCGTAGCTCCACCTCCGCGGAGATAGATTCGTTCTCCCAAAATGCAGGCGGACGCTGGAAGCTCCAGGAGAGCACTGGGTTGGGAGTCTTTGGACTTGCGTTGAACTCTGGCTCGCCCCTTTACTGCTTTGTGACCTAGAGCGAGATATTCCTCTCCCTGGGGCTCGGCTTCCTGTTCAGATGGGCTCTACTGAGAGGGCTCTTGGTGAACTACACCCACTCTGGGCTTGAAATGGGGTAGCTCAGTCCAGAGAAGTTGGGAGCTGTTGGTATTATTATTGGAGAGCTATTATTATTGGGCAGCCTGACAAAGGCAAGACTACATATACCCCTCACAACAGCCTCCGGCTACGGCATGATCATCTCAGGGGATACCTTCAGATACCTTCTAATCCTAGGGTTTTCAAAGGAATTTACGGGGATCACCCCAGAAGCTTTGGTTACAAATGCAGATCCCCCGTGGCTCCCCTGGTATGGGACCGAGTCTGGGACTGAGTCCAGGAAACTGCATAGCTAATTATTAGTTAACAGTAGATTCTGGTGAGGGAGGGCATCGGCAGGCCATACTTTGTGGGATACTGCTACGAATTTTGTACGAGGAGCAATTGAGGCCCACAGAGTGATCTGGCAATAGTCAAATTCGAACCCAGTTCTCCTGTGTCCAGTTTCGAGCACCCTGCTCTAAACCCTAAAACCCGGGAGCAAAAGGGTCAAGAGCGGCCCTAGGGTCAAGAGCGGCCCTGGGGTCCGGTGACTACCTGGCCCCCATCGCGGCTCAGGCCACTTCCTCGGCCAAGCCCTGGACACCGGGTGCCGCCCCCAAATTGCTACCCGCCCCAACACTGGAATCCGTCCACGTGCTGCTTGGCCTGCCCAGAGGCTACGCTAGACCACGCCCCTGGATCTCGCGCCCCAATTCTCAACCCCCAAGCCGGCTGGTGACACGCCCCCGCTCAGACTGACAACACATCGCTGCGGCCGGGCACCCAAAAGCCAGCTCCGAGTAGTCGTCGCGGGCTGGAGCCATGTCCCTTCCGTGACCTTCAGGAAGAATCGAGGGTCCTGGCTCCCAGGGAACAACCTCCCACACATCCACGCATTCTCCCACCCGTGGGGCTGCGGGCGTAACCAGATCGGCTTTCCCAGCCTATTCAGCAGCCAGCTGGGAAGCCCGCAGGCTCTTCCCGAGTGGAACCCAGGAGCTCTAGGAACCCTGGAACTGGGTCTGGGAGCGGTCCGCCCGAGCCGTTTCTCGGACGCGCCGACCCCGGAAGCAGGGCGTCCGAGGGAGAGCACCGCGGGTCACGCATATCCGGAAGCCGAGCCCGGGCGGTGTCTGCATCTCGGCGGGCGGGCGGGGTGACTCTTCTGGCTGGTATGAGGAGAAATGGGAACCGGGAGGGGGTCTCTTGGCCCTCTCGAGACCTCCGCCCCTCCCCCCCCGCGTTATGTAGATGAGGAAACGGGCTTGGGGAGAGGCGACCTCGCATGGGGCATTAACGATGCTTTGCAGAGCTGAGTGGGAAGCTGCGTCCCTGGCTTGTGGACAGAGCCGCCTCTGGAGTCCGGAGGACCTGGGTTTGTGTCCTGCCTGGGACAGGTCTAGCTAGGTGATTTTAGGCAAGTCGCTTTCCCTCTTGGAGCTTCCTTTCCCTCCCAGCTTGTCTTTGAAGATGTGACACCTAGCCGGTGCTCAGTACATGCTGGTTTGGACCTTGGTCTGTGCGAAGGGAAAGGGAACCACTACTTTAAACCTTCTGTTAAACCTTGTTTGTGACAATTTAAATATAAAGTTAACAAAAATTGTCAGGTTTTTTTTTTTTTTTTTTTTTTTTTTTACCGGGCAATTTATGCTGACCTTTAGGATTATGAGGTCAAATGGGGGTGGGGAGGAAGAGTTTTAGCATACAGATCAGTCACAGCATGTCAAAAGCAAAGCCCCCAAGCAAAGGCAGCCTCCTCTGACTTGTAATGTTAGTTTAGATCATGTAACACAGAGTCCCTTCTGTGTGTTGAGCTGACTCCCAGGCACTTGATATTCATTGTCTAATGTACTGCTTGCTGTGGAGTTGGTGTTATTTTCCCCATTTCATGGGGGAGGACACTGGAATTTAGAAATGATGATTTTTCCCAAGGTCACACACGCTAAGATGGAACAGATCTGTTCAGCCCTCAAGCCTGGGCCCAGACACATCGCCAGGGACTGAGCTTTGCATTCAGCCCACTTCAGCTAAAAACATGAAGAAAACATAACTGGTCAAGACAAGAAGAATCAAAAAGGTGGGCAAGGGTCTAAAATGGAGTTAAGGAGGTAGCAGAGCAAGAGCATATCCTCTCTCAGGCAGCAGGTCAGAGGGGAGTGGGTCACACAATGCTCAGCTGCTCTCCTGGTTCTCCTTCCTCTCCCAAGGTGGCAGTCGCATCGGGACCAGAGCCACCTTGAGGAGCCAGAGCCCGTGACCATCTCCACCTGGTTGGAGCCAGTGCTCGTCTTTAGCAGCTGACATCACGAGCAAGATTAAGGGACCTGGGAACTCTGAGGAGAGTCTTTCCCAGAGAATGGAGCTTGGGGGCCGAATTCTCTGGGCCTTTCTTTCTGGCCCCGGGAGGAGAGGAGGCACAAGGGGCTGGCCCTTCAGCTCATGGCAACCCCATCTGCCTCTAGCTGGGTCGTTGAATGCCACAGAGCTGGTCAGCCACTGGACTGCTATCTTTGAGAAGAGGGGCATCCCTGAGGCCCAGGCATCCAGTGAGTACATCGTGGCTCATGTCCTTGGAGCCAAAACAGTTAAGTGCAGTGTTGTCAAGAGGGGAGAAGATCGGGGAGGAAGGACCCTGGGGAATAACGGCCACACTTATCTGCCCCACAGAGAGTGCTGAGCTGAGAGTGATGGGAATTTTCTGAAGGAATGTCTTAGGTAGATAATTTATTCATCTAATGAACTATTATAGTATGTATCAGGCAGTAGGGGATCAGGGATGACCAAGATGGCCAGTGTTGGGCCCACAGTGTCCACATAAACCTGGGTCAGGCCCCTAGATCAGGAGCCAGATACTCACATTCTCTGTGGGGCAGTTTCAGAGCCTGAGACCAGTACTTTGCACCCAGCCCCTGACCTCTCGGCAGCTACAGTGCGTCCAGGAGCTGAGTAGCCTCCGATTGCAAAGGTGAGCACCAGGTGGGCCATCAGGTGGGCCAGACCTGAGGGCTCTGTATGGGGAATAGCCTGATTAACTCATGGTCAGGAAGGAGGAAAGTATCTAAGGACTGGGGAGGTGTTGGTATGAGGTTTTGATGAGAGGGAGATCACGTGAGTAGGTAGGAAGAAAGGAGGGAGGGAAGGCCTTGGCTTGGCTCAGAGTCCTGGGGCACAGGAGGCATGACCCTACCTGACATTTTTGGTATTC